TGTTTTGCAAAGGCCTTTCACTTTTTTCCCCCACTTCTAGTTTTCTTGAAAAGTTGCATACCACATACTCCCATTGATGTCACTTTTAAAGAGTTCTAATGCTTTCCCTGTCTTCTACATTCACTGTTTGCTCCTCCATCTCCCCCGCCCCCACTCCTGCCCCTTGAATTGGTTATCATCTCTGTATCATTTCTAAGCAGAAAGAAGAAAGTAGTCATGATAATAGTAATAGAACAAACCACCAACAATATTAAAACAAAAACACAGAAGAAATTTTGGTCATGGAACAAGAGAAGTATTTGAACTAGAGCAAATTTAGGTTGGGTCAAGAGGGAGGGAGGTCGACTGGCCAAGTATAATTCCGTAGTCTGCTTTACCATAATCAAGTTCATAATAGTCTTTACCTGACTTAAAGCTGTCTGAGTCCCTCGTCCGTGGGCCTTTCACTTCTTATGTATACAGTCAGATTCAGAGAGACGACAATGTTAGAAAGGGGGGAAATACAACTATAGAAATGCTCGTTTTTCTAAAATGCAAACAGTTGTGTTCATCTGACCAGAATGAATTATTACATGTCTATTAGAATTTCATGACAGCTTTGAAGCACTGTAAAAACTTGAAGTGCACTCATTAGAAAAAGAAATAATAATTACTCTGTAGGGTGAAATAGAAATGACCAAATAACAAAAATTTAAAGGCATGTGCATATTCTTCTTTCTCCAGTCATGTATCACTTAAGTGTTACAAATTTTTATTTGTAAAATTGTTTCCCCCACCAATCCTTTTCCCAATATTTCTGAGGATACTTTGGTTATGTGTACCTAACGAAGAATGTGCTTTATTGTGAAGTAAGCTCATGGGAAGCAGTCTGTACCTTCAAGTGCATACGAGACAGTGATCTGAAACCCTATGGGGCTGCTATGAGTCAGAATCGACTCAGTGGCAGTGGGTTATATTAAACATTTGAAATTTCCTAAAGAGAAAATGAATTTGTTATGATACTATTTTCTTTTAAAGTGGTGAAAATTTGGGGCTGGAATCCAAATACCTGAAGAAAAGAGAAGACAGCATTCCTTTACGTGGGCTGAGCCAGAATCTATTTAATCATCCAGGTGAGAAGGCATATATGAAATCCATTTTGCATGCTCTCATTTGATCGAAAGTTTATATAGATGAATGCAAATCTTCTTAATCTTCCTTTGCAGACCACCACAAAGACGGCACTCTGGGCACAGTACAGACATCCAGACCCACAGGGATTCCTTCTGCAGCTTCAGCATATTTTCCTGGGCAGTTACCAAACAGTTAATTCTGCTATTGGCATTTACTTTCTACTGAAGTATAGGAACTGAGGTGGTTTAAAAGTGCCAACAGCATAAATCAAATCCTTTTCAAATAAGTTTCAGGTTGTACTTGAGATACTACATTTTAGTCCTTATTCAGTATCTCTGTCATTTATTTAAGAACTTTTAAAAGAACAAATTAATAGTTGGTGACTGATGACATTCTGAGTGATAACTTTT